TTATTTTTATTGTTCACACTATTACAGACGAGTTCAAAGGGCTCCTTATCTCTCCTTTGAGTGCTTACTAAAATGGGCATTCAATTGGGCGTCCTTCCTCTGGCCTTTGTAGATGTATGTGTGTGTATCTCCTACAAATTCAGGCTTGTCTTTCTCAAGGACCTGAGAGTCATTCCTTTGAAATGCAACAATCGGGGGAATTCAGGCCTGAGTCCCCAGGGCCGGTGGGAGGAAAGAATCCCAGCTTCCTAACGCCAGCCAGCAGACGCAGCTTACTGCACCCACCCCGACCACCCCGTCACTGGTCACTTCCCTGCGTCTCCCTTTTCCCTGGAAAACGCCCAGCCGCGCCTGCGCAAACCCAGCGCCTTCCCTGCAGCCGGAGGCTTTTGCATGTCATGTCTGGCTGGGTCTTATTTGACCGGGGTAGGTACGTAGTCAAACTCAGACCCCCAGGCCTGTAAATCTTAGAAGCTTCTTTGATCAGGGAGTTACCCTAACTCTAAACCCTAACCCTAGCCTCGTTTGACACCGCAAACACCCCACCGCCCCCCGGCCGGGTGGGCTCGGGATGGGGCCTCCCTCGCCGGCCGAAGGCTCACAGGCGGGAGTCCGGTACCGGGCGCGGCCCCCGGCCGGTCGGCCGGTCGGGGCGGCGCAGGAGGCAACTAATGGACACATCGATGTCTCTCTCCCTTCCACTTTCTCTAAAAATCACCGGCGAGCATGCCCTCGTGTGAGGATTAACAAAAACACCCTACTCCCATCCCTCTCTGCACTCCTCCCTAGCGACCCTCTGGGGCGGCCTCCATGTCCCAGGGAGGTTCCTCCCCTCCAGGTCTCGGCCTTTCATCCGTTGGTCTGTGCCCTCAACCTGGGGCTCCTCCTCCGGACGCTCCGGGCCCACGGCCTCCCGGGCCTCCTCGGCGCCCCGTCCGCTCCGCGCTCCGCGGCGGCCCGGCGCCCTCTCCGGGCGGCGGGCGTGGAGGGCGGAAGGACTCGGGCCGCCGGGTCGGCCATGTTGCCCCCTCCGGGCGCGCCCGGCCTCCTCGGGCCGCGGAGTCGCGGGGCTGAAGGCGGGGCCGCCCCCGCCGCCGGGGCGGGCACTCACCTTCTTGTGAGGCAGGGGCGGGCGTCTACTACTACCGTCCCCCTCCCCGCCAACCGCCGGCCGGGACACAGGCCGAGGTGGAGGTGGCGGAGAGGCAGGGACAACCGCTGCCGCCACCGCCGCCTCCGCCGCCGCCGAGCAGGCTGGGGAGGAGGAGGAGGAGGAGGAGGCGGAGACCGGGGTTCCGGAAGGGAAGTCGCCGCCACCAGCGGCGCCTGACTGGCCGGCGCCGACGCCATGACGGCGGGGCGCGCTACTGCGCCTGCGCCGCTCGCCCCGCCCACACAGCCCTTCGCCCCGCCCCTTCGCCCGCCTTCCTGGGGCTCAACTCCAGTTTCGCTCAACTTCCTTATTCCTTTGCAGACCCTCCACCTTCCCGTGGCAGAGGAGAAGCTTGTGGGGCCTCCAGTCTTTTAGAGTGAATCTAAAGTTTAAACCCACCTAAAATAAAATAAAAAAGTCTGAATCTACGGCTTCTACTCCAGAGCATCTGAAAACTAGATCATCTCCTGCTTAATCTTTCTCTCCTTTGCGAGGGTCTTTAGTACATAGAGTAGATATAACAAAACCCTTGGTCCTGATATGCTGTCATCATTGGTCCATAAATCATCTCTTCTCTTTTCGCTTCGCTTCTCTTCTCTTCTCTTCCTCTCTCTCTCTCTCTCTCTCTCTCTCTCTCTCTCTCTCTCTCTCTCTCTCTCTCTCTCATTCTCTCTCCTCCTTTCACCCCTCCCTCTCCCTCTTTTCCTCTCTATCAAATGTGTTTGTAATCATGTATGTACATATACACATGTAAATCTCATCATCTTATTCCCCAACTTCCAAATAAATCACTATCTTGTTTGTAGTCATCATTTCCTTACAAATATATGTTTATCACAAATACATGTAGCTTTAAAAAGTTTAGATTATTTTTTAATTTCAAAAGATTTATGTCTTTCCTTATGCAGTTCTGGAATTTGTTTCACTCAACATTTTGAGGTTCATCAAGCTGTAGTATATGTGTTATTTATTTGCTTCATTGCTGTACAATATTCTACCCATTTCTTGATGGGCATGTCTCCTGTGCATGGTGCAAGTTACTCTTGGCTATCCTTTCCTGACACACTGCCACTATCTAATTTCAGCTTCTCATCATCTTGTATTACAACCAGGGTAGTAGCTGCCTAACAGGCATCCATCCCTCCTCTGACTTCACCAACTCCAATCTACTGCACATATTGCTGCCGAAGGGTTCTATCTCAAAGTCATTACTGGTTCCCATTGTCTGTTGGGGAAATCAAAAGTGAGTACTACCAGGCTTCTGTGCACTTCCCTGGTCTCATTTTCTTCCTGTTGCCTCCCCTTCCCTACCCTGCTTTCACTTTATGATCCAGCAACCTTTACTGATTCCTGTAAATATCAAGCTATTGCATAAACTCAACTTATTGTATATGCTGCTCTCTCTTCCTGGAATGTCCTGTCCCTACTTTCTAATGAACTTCTCCTTCCCTCAGAAGTAAATACTATCCTGAAGGAAGCATTTCTCATTCCCATGCATTTCTTTAAACTTTTACTACATATGCACAGCACCTTTTCCTTGATCTCGTCATTAAAAGTGATTTTGAAATGGGGGCGGGGAGGGAGAGAACAAAGGCAGATGAGAAAAAAAAAATCACCTCATAGGATTTGTGTTGCTACGCAACATCGCAGGACCCTGTGTCCCCTTCCCCATTACCAACCAAAAGATTGATAACAGTGCTAACACCCCCTGTTAGATGTCTTGGGAAGCAAGGGACACCCTGATACAGTGAAGAATTTTTGCCCATCTTGCACAACCTCAAAAATCCAGGTGCTCATTCCAGGGTTCTGTTTTATATTCAATCATAGAGTAGCTTTTATAAAAATTTAAAATTCACATTTCCCAGGAATGCAACTTCTTGTTAACTGAAGTAAGATTATATTTTCATTCATTCAGACGTTGACTAAATGTCATTCACCATTTCAGGAAACCATGTCACATACAACAATGCTCTGTGTGGAATTTGTGTCTCCAGATTCAACCAGCTCCCGTCACATTGATTCTACTGAGGAGGAAACATTTGACTTTATCATATTTCCTAGTGTCGCTGTACCCAAACATTAACATAATGAGCACACTGACATATTTAGTTCACAAACCTTCTATATAATAAAGAGGTAATATGCAAATTGACCATCATTCCAATATACAAGATGGCTGCCCCCATGTGGACACAAGATGGCCAGCAGGGAAGGGCAGTTTGGAGGGACCAGGCCAGCAAGGGAGGGCAGTTGAGGGTTACCAGGCCAGCAGGAAAGGGCCGTTAGGGGCAATAGGGTCAGCAGGGGAGCAGTTAGGTGTTGATCAGGCTGGCAGGGGAGTGGTTAGGGGGTGATCAGGCTGGCAAGCAGAAGCAGTTAGGGGCAATCAGGCAGGCAGGCAGGCAGACAAGTGGTTGGGAGCCAGCAGTCCTGGATTGTGAGAGGGATCCCAGATTGGAGAGGGTGCCGGCTGGGCTGAGGGACACCATCTCCCCTGTACACAAATTTTGTGCACCAGCCCTCTAGTGACTATATATTTTATTATAGGATAACTTTCATTATATTTCTCCCTTATTAGGTTAGGTTCATGTCTTAGTTCATTTGGGTGGCAATAACAAAATACCACAGACTGCATAACATAAACAACAGAAATTTATTTCTCACAGTTCCGGAAGCTGGCTGTCCTAGATCAGGGTGCCAGCAGAGTCTTGGTAAAGGCCCTTTTCAGAGGTTCAGACTTCTCATTGTGTCCTGGCATGATGGAAGAGAGACAGAAATTATCATCCTTGTTTTACAGCTTCTATCTCAAAGTCCTAGTGGTAGACTCAGCATTCAAAAGCGGATCTGACTCAGAAGCTAGTGCTTGAGAAGGACCGTACTCACAGAGATCCAGAGCAGGCCTCCCAGAAATAGATGCATCCCAGAGATTACATGGAAGATAAGCCACAGCCCTAGATCTGCAAGGATCTTTTGTTTTAACCTGAGCGGGAGTTGGTACTTAGTTCACTGGAGATTTTAGAGATCGTCTCTCCAGTGTTATCACTCCTGGGTAAGAGGCAAAGGGAACGTTGAGATTTTCCTGGCAGTAAACACAAGTTAAGAGAGATTTGATAGAAAGATAGAAATAGGGTTTTTATTTTCAAGGCTTGCCTCCTCTCATATAGCCTGCACACAGCACACCTGCATTATCAGGTAATTTCCAAAACTCTATGCCCTGGTGGGGGTGCTGTGGGAACCTCAAGAATTGCTGGAGAAGCGAGATGTCCTTGGAGTCTAACTAGTACTGTTATGTGTATCCACCTTTAGCTTTCTGAAAGGCAGGGGGACAAGGGGATAACTCACTTGAGAAGGTGTAAGCCTGACTGACGAAGGGTCCCAGAGCAGCAGGCATCGCCTCTTCTCCTGGACCCTTTCAGCTGTCTGCTTTGGATTGACAGAGGCATCTGGATGCTAAAAATACCTTATTGAACAAGTGCTCCCTACTCCAACTAAAGCTTAGCACGACAGCCATCGGGCCTGAGCTTCCTCTTGCAAGAGAGCTTTCCAAATTTTCCGACCCAGTCCCCCAGCCGCAGGAGCCCATGGCCATCTTCCGCTCTGTCAGCTTTGCTGGGTGATGAGTGAGACCCTTCCCACATCACTGTCCTCCTGCCTGCCCCCTCCCTGCCTCCAGGAGAAGGGGCAGAGGGGGAGGTGAGGGCCCAGTGGCCAGAGTGGGTGGGGAGGGGGAGGTGGCCTGTCCATTTATAGGCTTGCTCTCTGGGATGCTGAAGGTGCTAAAATAGCAGCCAGGACAAGAGACTTGGCTCAGTGTTGGGAATTGCCCTGCTGCCTGAAAGCCCGTGAGATGACAATAGGGAACATGGAGAACGTGGAAGTCTTCACTTCTGAAGGCAAAGGCCGGGGTCTGAAGGCCACCAAGGAGTTCTGGGCTTCGGACGTCATCTTTGCCGAGCGGGCGTATTCGGCAGTGGTTTTCGACAGGTAGGAACTGTGGGGAGCTGCCTTCTTTTCTCCTGTTGGTTTGGCTAGTGCCAAACTCAAACATACTGTGCTCTCAAAGTCAGCAGGAAAGGGATATAAAATCCATGGGATCATTTGGAAATGAATGGCGTTTCTGCCAGCTGTTTGCTGACATAACTTTTTCTGCAAAGACTCATTGCCAATGTGTTTTGTTCTGGTCCCTAGAAGGGTTGTAAAAGTGAGCAACCCTTACAAAAGTGTCACTCTCTTACAACACCAGTGAACTGGGCTGAATGGGTGTGCTGGCTGTGGTGATGGTGGAGAGAAAGGAGTGGAATATGTGGGTGTAGTGTTGTGGAAAACATTTTCTTACAGGAGGCTCCTAGTTGGTGAGATTTAAAAAAAAAAAAAAAAGGAATTGTAGATACATAAGTAACACAGGAATGCATTTACCTTTGAAAAATTTTAGAATCTCACAAACAAAGCTGGAATCCCTTTTTGCCTTCCTACCCCTACCCCCAATCTATTCTATCTTTCCCCAGAGATAATCCCTACAATGGTTTTAATGTGTTTCTTTCTAGAATGTTCTTGTATTATAACATACATATTTCTGCCCTTATCAAAATGTACAGCTGTAGTTTCTCTCTCTCTCTCTCTCTCTCTCTCTCTCTCTCTCTCTCTCTCTCTCTCTCTCTCTTTCTCTCTCTCTCTCTCTTTTTTACATAAATGGTATCATTTTTCAGATGTCATTCTAGAACTTACTCTTTTCATTAAACATGTTTTTGATACTTATTCTCATGGGAACTATAAGTCTATAGATATGTCTTTTAAATCTACAAAGATCTACGTCTTTTACCCACATGTAGATATCTCCATATGCTATCTGGATTAACTGCTGTAAATATTCCACTCTATAAACATGTGAAACTTTATCCATTTTTCCATTGAAAGACATTTGTGGTTTCCCAATTTTCATAAAAATGGACATTTCTGAGATTAAAACCCTTGCCTATGTGTGATGACTGCCAGGATATATGGCCAGAGGAGAGATTGCTATGCCTCCAGGTGTGCTGTTTTCAGTTCTAACAGGCTCTGCAAAGCGGCTCTGTTAGATTTACATTCCCTCTCCCCCACGCCCTGTTCACACCTGACTACACACTTTTAAGTCTCATTCCCTATTGACAACTAGCTGGGCAACACCTCATGCTTTTAAAGTTATAGTAGATCTTTATTTTAACTCTGGCTGATGTAGCTCAGTTAATTGGGCTTCGGCCTGTACACTGAAACAGGCAGGTTTGATTGCTGGTTTGATTCCTTGTCAGGGAACTTGCCTGGATTGTGGGCTTGAAACTCAGTAGGGGGCATGCAGGAGGCTGCCAATTGATGTTTCACTCTCACAGCAATGTTTCATTCTCTTTCTCCCTCTCCCTTTCTCTCTTTGTAAATATATTTTAAAAAACATTTATTAAAAAAACCCCACCTATGCTGAAACCGGTTTGGCTCAGTGGCTAGAGCATCGGCCTGCAGACTGAAAGGTCCCAGGTTCGATTCTGGTCAAGGGCATGTACCTTGGTTGCGGGCACATCCCCAGTAGGGGGTGTGCAAGAGGCGGCTGATTGATGATTCTCTTTCATTGATGTTTCTAACTCTCTATCACTCTCCCTTCTTCTGTAAAAAATCAATAAAATAAAATAAAAAACAAACAATCAAACAAAAACTCCCACCTACACAGTGATTCAACATGACAAACTTCTCTGAACCCAATATTGGGGTGACCTGCCTGACTTTTATGTGGTCTGAATCAGGATGGCCTCTGATAACCTAGGCTTTGGGGTTGGCTCTCTGGACTGATCATCCTGACAATGGACATTGCTTTTCAGACATAATTTGATTACATTTGATTCTGGAGAAATTCTCCTTTCTTCCTGCCTACCAAGGCTTTCAGGGAAAAGGCAGTGAACATATGGGGCATATGGCTGACCACCATTTGAAGAATGTAAGGGTGCTTAGGTGACAGTAATAGCTCTTCAGAGGGAGCTTGTCTTACTTCATTAGTGTGTGTGTGTGTGTGTGTGTGTGTGTGTGTGTGTGTGTGTGTGTGTGTTGGGGATGGAAGTGAGTACAGTTAAGGAGTCAGTTGTGTTCAGAATTAGATATAAAAATCTAGAAAAACAAAAACTCTGAACAATGATGTTAATGCTGTAATTTTGCCTTCTATAGAACACCTTCACTGGTTCCTCCAGTTCTCCAAAGGAAATATAGACACTTTCATGAATGTTCGGATTTGAGTGAGTTTTCCTTCCAGTATAAAAGTAAAATTTAGGCCCAGCCGGCACAGCTCATTGGTTGAGCATAGTCCTATGAACCAGGAGATCATGGTTCAATTCCCGGTTAGAGCACATTTCTCAGGCTGCCGGCTCAATCCCCAGTATGGGGCATGCAGGACGCAGCCGATCAGTGATTCTCTCTCATCATTGATGTTTCTATTTCTCCCTCTCTAAAGTAAATAAAAATATATTTTAAAATGTATCTTCACATTCTTTTAAAAAAATTTCTTTATTGATTAAGGTATCACATATTTGTCCTCAACCCCCCATTCCCCTCCCCCCCCACACATGTCCCCACCCCCCTAATGTCCTCGACCATTGGTTAGGCTCATATGTATGCATATCTTCACATTTTTCTTTTTTTTTTTAATATTTTTTTTATTGATTTTTTACAGAGAGGAAGGGAGAGGGATAGAAAGCTAGAAACATCGATGAGAGAGAAACATTGACCAGCTGCCTCCTGCACATCCCCCACTGGGGATGTGCCCGCAACCCAATGTACATGCCCTTGAGTGGAATCGAACCTGGGACCTTTCAGTCTGCAGGCTGACGCTCTATCCACTCAGCTAAACCGGTTTTGGCAATATATCTTCACATTCTTAACATTGTTGTTTATTTTCTTCTTGTTTTACTTTTATTTATTTAAAAATTGATTTTTAGAGAGAGTGGAAGGGCAAGGGAGCGAGAGACAGAAACATTGATGATGGCTGCCTCCTGTATGTCCTGCACTGGGGATTGAGCCCAACCCAGGCCTGTGCCCTGATTGGAATCAAACGGGTAACCTCTTGGAGCATGGAACGATGCTCAACCACCTGAGCTACACCTGCTGGGCTTGTTTTAAAAGAGTTTTTACTGCACAGCTGGAATCTTACTTTACAAAATGTTGTATTTCTTTATTCATTGATTAATTTAATTATCTTCTGTGTCACTCTTCACAAGCATAATATTTAATGGTTGCATGCTATTCTTCTCTCTCTCTTTTTTAAAAATTTATTTTATTGATTTTTTTTGCAGAGAGGAAGGGAGAGGGATAGAGAATTAGAAACATCGATGATAGAGAAACATCAATCAGCTGCCTCCTGCACACTCCCTACTGGGTATGTGCCTGCAATCAAGGTACATGCCCTTGACCAGAATTGAACTTGGGACACTTGAGTCTACAGGCCTATACTCTATCCACTGAGCCAAACTAGTTAGGACTATCCTTCTCTTTCTCTCTTTCTCTCTTTTATGACTAGACTATTAGACTGTTTACATGTCTTTGTTGCTATAAATAGCTAATCACTCATTTGAAGGAATAGCTACAAAACCAACCTTAGTGGACATCACAGATAAACTGCTACATAAAATATTATCATTATAATAGTAATAAGAATTAGAATAATTGTGGTAAATAATCTTTAAAATAAAATTTTAAAATATAAAAGAGATACTTTAAAAAATATATATATTTTATTGATTTTTTTACAGAGAGGAAGGGAGAGGGATAGAGAGTTAGAAATATCGATCAGTTGCCTCCTGCACACCTCCTAGACTGGAGATGTGCCCGCAACCAACATATATGCCCTTGACCGGAATCAAACTTGGGACCTTCAGTCTGCAGGCTGACGCTCTATCCACTGAACCAAACCGGTTATGGCAAGCGATACTTTTTAAAGGCGATTTGCCCAACTTTATCCCTGCAAAGATGAGGGTAGACTCCTTCTTTGGGTATACGGAGACAGCCTGGAAAGGAGCCATAGGATAACCATGTACATGTGGTCCTCCCTCTCTGTAAGACGCTGCTACTGTAGGTGAGAAACCTGACTGAGGAGGTAGGACTGAGTTACCCACAAGTCACTCTATAAAAGGGGCAGGCTCGAATGCATGTGTTAACCTAAAAAATAAAAGGCCAAAAGTGAGAGGCAACATGCATCTATTTGAGATGAAACAAAAGGACAAGAAAAAAGAATAGCTATTCAGGACACACTGGTTCAAACGGAAACCCAAATAGTGTTCTGATCAGGAGACAAAAGCAGTGGGCACCTTTACCTTTAGACACGCCACCAATGCTATCTCTATGTATATACTCTAGGAGCTGAGTTGAATTGTAAGAAGCCCCGCTAGTGTTGGAGTATTGTTTGGATGGTGTAAGAAACCCCTCCCACACACGTTGGAATTGGGTGCAGAATCAAATCTGCATTCCTGGGCTCTATTTCCAAAGCCAGCTGGCTTCTCCTCCCTTCTGCCACCTTCTTATAAGGACTTGTGATTACATTAGACCCATTATCTCCTCAGCTTGAGGATCTTACTCCTAATCACATCTTCAAAGTCCCTTTTGCCAGGTAAGGTAGCTTATTCCAAGTTTCCAGTGATTAGGATACTGACATTTTGGGGAGGCCTGCCAGCCTATTGTAGCCAATAATATTAATTTCTTGTTAATCCAATTTATTACAAAAGATATTAAGAAAAAAAATAAAGAAGGAGCAAGGGCAGTGAGTTTTTTCTAAAGTTCTTTACAAAAATGTTATTAGCTATTGAACGATTCTGTTTAAAGAGTTGAGCCGAAACCAGTTTGGCTCAGTGGATAGGGCGTCGGCCTGTGGACTGAAAGGTTCCAGTCAAGGGAATGTACCTTGGTTGTGGGCACATCCCCAGGAGGGGTGTGCAAGTGGCAGCTGATCCATGATTCTCTCTCATCAATGTTTCTAACTA